CTATCAGGAAAAAGTATTGCAAAACCAATTCAAATTCCCAATAATATTTGTGAAGATATACAAGAAAATAAAAATGAACTGTGGATACTTTTTCAAGATACAGCTAAAGCTTATAATACTATTAGTCTAGAAATGTTAGTAAAAGCCATAAAAAGAATTAAGACTTCTAAAGATTTTATCAAAATTATAATGAGCCTTTTCAAAAATAGAGAATTTAAAGTTATATTTGAAGATAATCTTATAGAATCCATAAAAATAGGGGATGGAATTGATTAAGAAGAAACTATTTTGCCATTAATGTGAAAAATTTTTTATGATTCTTTACTGTGTAAAATCCAAAATAATACTAATAGAGGATATAAAATATCAGTTACCTGAAACCTAAACTTTAAAGGACAAATCATCAAGAAGCTTAAATCAAGATATGTGGTCATAGCCTTCATTAATAATATAACATGGATAGCAAGATCAAAAAAAAATATGGAAAAGATTTTGAAAATAGCAAGAGTCTTCTATATGACCAATGACTCTTAGATCAATAATAATAAATCAGTTCTAGTTACTATTAATAATCCTAACTGCTATCTAGTAGAAGTTCAAACTGGTATTGAAAAAGAGATAGCCAAAGAACTTGATAAAATAAAACAAGCAAAATTTTTGGAAATCTGAATAAGTAATCAAAAAACTATAATCGAACTTAAAAAAAAAATGCATGATAACTAGTATATGTTATTTAAAGCAAGATTAACAGTTGATCACAATCAATTATATGTTAGTAACAAATACTAAATGTATAAACATATAGAAGCCATATGTTATAGACTCCCTAATATCAATATAGCAACTTATTGCTATATACATCAATATACCATCCAAAAATCTATAATTTGAAGAGTATCTAAATGCTACAGAGAGAAGGTCATGTAACAAGATTATACAACAAATTGAATTATCTTGGATTAGCAGGGATCACAACAATTATAAGACTCAAACAGGTACAAATTAAACATTGGGAACCATTTAACCTATTGACTTATAACTCTTTAAATCACCTCTCAGATAAAGACAATTTCTCATTTCAAGTAATAAAGCTGACTAAAGACATGAATAACTTTTCAAAGCTAGAAGTGATATAATATCTTCAAATGAGAAAAAGAAAATGGCTTGATTAAAAAATATATTATATTTGATCATTACAATAAAGCTATTTTATTATTAAGAAACAATATGTTAATGTAAATAAATTAACTTATATATCATAAGACAAATAAAATTAGAAATTGGTGTATGTTCCAACTTATTCAAAAAATAGATAAAGGTCCTATTCCAAAATGGTTTCTAACTATAAACAAGATACTTTCTAGAGATCTCTTGAATCAATTAATAGAATTCTGGAAATTGGATTAGACTAAATAAAAATTAATATATCCTATAGTAAGCTCTAATTAAAATTGAAAACAAAAAATATAAGTAATTAAGAAAAATAATAACTATCAATTAACCTAGAAAAAACAGGAAATAGAACAAATATTGAATACTACAATTGTCAGAACAATAAAAAAAACCAGGAGATAAAGATAATAAAATATCTAGGTTGCTTAAAAGATTATATCCAAAAAAACAGTTGCATTATAGAGAAAGATATAAAAAAAAATTTATATAGTACCTATCTTAACACAAGAAAGAATATTAGAAGAACCCAGACACTAATAGTTCTGAGTTCCAAAATATCTCTAAAAAAACAATCAAAAAAGTAATATATGATAATCAAGTTTCATCAAAAGATCCTTTCTTGTAACCTTTCCTTCAATATTTTAAAATGAATTATATACAGTAGATATAGAAAATTGAAAAGAAGTAATCATTAAAAAGAATGTTAAAAAAGGAGTACATCAAGATCAGTTAATAAAGATATTCTGATATAACCTAAGATCTATTAAAAAGTTAATTTTTTATTCATATGGTTCACTTATTGATTATGAAAGTGACAATATGAAAATAAAAGCAGTATAGATAAAGCTAAGTAATATAGGAATAAAAAAGAATAGATAATTGATCCTTATTTATATAAATAAAATTGATAACAATAATCCTAATACTTTTAGTAATTCCAATAAGTAACATAATTGAAATCATTATAAATAGTCAAGTCTATATTTCAAAATGGAAAATAATTGAAAAAAATGATTCAAAAAGAATATACAAGAGATAGTTAAAGGATAAAACTGATTGTTATGGACTCATATAATAGAATTGATTAAGAAAAAAAGTTTAAATCTGAAATCTACCAAGATCAAGGTATACTTCAATAATTCTTATAATGATAAAACAAATACTTTAGTTAAAGATACTCTCAAACTCCCTATAATAGAATAAAAAAATCTTATCTATACAAGATTCTTACTGAAATCAAGTGACAAGACAAAACAATAGATAATCCTATAAGATGGTTCATTAAAAAAGTAAACAATAAAACCATGCATATCAATAGACAATACAAAAACAGAATTAAAAGAAATAGAACCATCAGATCAAAGAACAATAAGACTATATGTATAACCTAGTATGGGAAAAAATAAATAAGTACATATAGAATATGTCTTTTAAAGATTTATAAAGAAAAAGTTTTTTTATTAAGTTGACTATCAATACTAAATAAGTTGATAATTAAAAGGCTGAATTTATATAAGCAAGTAAAATGTATCACATATAATGCCTACAAAAAAGAGACAATTATTCATTTGTTAAAATGTTTAGTTTATAAGGAGCAAATAAGAGAAATATGGAACAAAGACCTTGAAGAAGTTCTTAAAAACTTTAGAGAACTATCACAAGAAAGGAAAAAAGAAGCTACAGAAAAGAATATGAAATTGATAGTGGACAATAAAGAAGAAATAAAAAAAGTTAACAAGTGGATATTCAAACTAGTGAAACAAATTTCGACAACAAGTCAGGATATATTAAGTTTTTGTGTAGGACTAATAATAAGTAAACTGATTCTTAAATTGGTGAATCTAAAATATTATGGTAAAAAAATTGAAAAAGAAGTAAAGAAGTAGATAAAGAAGATACAGAATATAGTATACAATTGATTCCGTAAAAAAGTTTAGAATATAAGATATGAAAAAATAATATAATAGAAAAGAATATAAGAAATATAAAGAAATAATAAGATAAAAAGATCTTTTAACTCTCAAGATCATAAAACTATATTATTGAAAAAAAGAATTCTATTATCAGAGAAAGAAAAATTAAAAGATCAAGATTTGAAAAATACAGTATCTTATAAATAGGGATTAGATTCAGAAAAAAATAGTTGGATTTTGAATTTTGTCAGAACTTAAAAAAGTGATCTACAGTAGTGACTTGCTAGTAATATTAGAAATTAAAAAGATTTTTATCTGAATTTTTAATAAAGTGATAAATCACTCCTAAAGTTATACTTAGAGTAGTAATTACAAAGATGAGTAAGCTAGTTAGAGTTTTTGGCTTTAGCAATTTATATTATATAGATAGTTTACAATTGTTTAATAAAGCATATATAACTAGTCTGACTGAGGGTTTAAAAAAAAACCCCCAAATCCAATTTAACTATTACTATCTTATATAATCTTTTTTAACTTTAATTATATTTTTAATTTATTATAGTATTATATCATTTAAACTTAAATAATAATTAACATTAATTTTATTCAATATTTTTTGTATCTTGCTTCATAAATTCATAATATTAATAATATTATTAGAAAATTTTTGTAAATAATAATTAATTTTGTTTTATAAATATTCTATCAGATTTAGATCAGATAAATATAGTGATCAATTTAAAACTTTGATTTTATTTTAATTATATCATTTTGTAATCATATTTATCATATGTTTAGAATTATTGTTATAATGAAAAATGATTTCATCTTGTTTCAAATTTCATACCCATAAGATCTCTATAAGTTTATCTTTTAGTATCTTACAATACAATTTTTTATTTATTTTTTTATCAATTTTATAATAATTTTCTATATTATTTATATCCATACAATTCTATACTATTATATATCTACTATCAAACTTTATTATTATATTTATATGTTAAAATAATAAAAATGATTTTGATTTTTTTCAATATTATTTTCTTTCATCTAAATCAAAAATCAAAATTCAATCTTATCAAAAAAAATATTTTTAGCTTGAAGTAAAGGTTTTTTTTTTTTATTCTAATTATTAGATCTTGTTTTTTTTAATGTATATCTATTGTAATTGTATTTGTAGAAACAATAATATTTTTATTAAAAACTAAATTTTTTTAAATTTTAATTGTATTTGAACATTTATTCAATTTAATAAGTTTAGCTATACTTTTTCATAACATTCTATAAATATCAGGTCTTGATAAAGTATTTTTATTGCATTCTTTTCTTTCAAAATTTTAATTCTTAAAATAGAAGTATGACTTATTTTTTCATGAAAAGTGATACTATGACTTGAATAACCTTCTTGAAAAAGAACAAGAATTATTTTTCTTTTTTTAAGCGAATGGCTTTTATAATATAAACAAAGTGTTGAGTAACTGATTTATAAAATTATTTATTTTATTTATATTAAAATTTGTTATACATATATTTATTTACAATTATGATCATAAATATTATAATATTTAAATCAATTAATTATAAAATATTGCAATCTAAAAATTTTAAGTGTCGTGAAACAATAATAATGGAAGTTACTGTATACCTAACCTGACTAAGGGTTTCAAAAAAAAAAAAATAGATAGACAGGATTTTATTTTAAGGGATATGTTAAAAAGAAAAGTTGGAATTTTTGTAATCAGGGTGATAAAAAAAATTTTTTTTTAATGCCAACCAAATCTAGTATAAGTGACTTACTTGTAAGAGATCCCAGGTCTTTTACAAGAAAATTTATTGGCAAACACACTGTATGTTGATCATTTTAGACCCTTTTAATGTCGATCGATTAGAAACATTTTGGGTATGGTGTGTCTAAGAACATTCGTTCGCTTTTTCATCCGAGTCCACAGCGCTACCATCGATCACCTGTTTTACATCAATCACGCTGGCGAAAGTAAATAATGTTCCCGGATAGACTTTACTGCCCCACCTTGGATGTAGTAGGATGTGACAGCACCCCACATTTTGAGTTGGATACTTCAGAAGAGATTCGGCTCCTTGCACATCTGGATATATGGATGGGCCACGATCGGAAAATATCTGTATTAGCGGTTAAAGTGTGATAAGTGTGATAATATTATTAAACGAAAATGCATGCAAAGGAACAAAGTATTTTCGCTTACCGGATACCCAGAACAAGGATCCGTTAGATCCGCCCAATAACCACGATCCCTTAATCCTTGGCAAATTGATTTTCCCCAACCAACGAACTACTTGCGATAGCATTAAGAATTAATCTCTTTCAAAATACGACCGATTGTGGAGTGAAACGAAAACGGGTCCCAAAACCTTACGTTCTCAAGTTTTTCATCCCTCTCTTTATCAATTATACTCCCAGTCCCCACCATGTCATTTTCACAATTCAAAAATACAGGAATGACAAGACATTTATTAACTTGATCTGCTATCTCGGGAAATATGCTCGCTAAATCTCTGTTGAATCTTCTCGAACCGGAATGAATTGAATATTCGAGAGTAAAATTTTTTAGGGATTTCGGATCCTTTACGGTGATCCGTGTAGGAGCATGCAAAGTCTGAGAACGGGAAGACATTTTTTTTTTGAAAAAAAAAAATGATCTGTGATCAAATTTATAGAATTTCCCGAGTTGTATTAATGATGTAGGCGAATTAGCATCTCCAGAGATGGAATCCGAATGTGTCGATAATCCGATGATTTCGATCTTAAAATGCTTCAATGCATGTGATTGTATTATCTTTCACTGCGAACAATCAACTTAATATTTGATAAATGTTTTTCTATCCGCCGATTTTTAGCCCTCTGGAATAAGTATGAAACTGAAAACCAGGAACTCCAAAATTTTCTAGACATTACGATAAGTATTTATCGATTCAATCTTGCAGAAAAGATTATGAGAAATACACACCAATTTGCAATTTGCCTGAAGATCTGACTTGATCGTGATAATTTTTTTAATTAGAATAGAAGATCATAAAAGTGAAAAAGGAAATGCAATATTGTAGATTATTTAAAGTAGGTTGATAAACTATTATATTAACATGAAAAATGGAAAATAATCTTATTTAACTCGTGACCTGTTCCAGAAGTTACCAGAATTTCCAGAATACAAAATCCACAACTAGTCACGGGAATACGAATTTAGCCCTATCAATTTTTCAAACAAGAATTTTTCTGAAAGCAAGGACAACAAATGGCTAAGGTATGCGAAGAAAGAAGTTCGAGTACGAGTTTTGATCGTCCAAATACATTTAAGACTCACCATTATTATCTAATTCTAGTTCGATCGTAAAGCCGATGAGAAACTGGTGTTTGAAACAAGCGAGGACGTGAAAGTGTAGGTTTAGATTGAAGAAGTCCCAATAACCACACGTACTGACCCATAATTTCATTCTCTTACTTAAAGTGTGCCCACGTTTGACTCAATCGGATTGAAAGAAGATCTTCTGAGAGGAATTTATGCATATAGTAAGAATGGTTGAACTTGTTCGTGCGCAAATGAAACACTATCCAACGAATTATAATTTGATCTTAGATTTTGAAAAACCTTCGGCCATTCAGCAAAGAGCAATCGTTCCAATTATGAAGGGTCGTGATGTTATTGCACAGGCACAATCTGGAACTGGTAAAACGGCCACTTTCTCAATTTCCATTCTTCAATGTATAGACACCACTATTAGGGAGACTCAGGCGCTTGTTTTGTCACCGACGAGAGAACTTGCGACCCAAATACAAAGTGTCATTTTGGCCCTTGGTGACTACATGAATGTTCAATGTCATGCTTGTATTGGTGGGACTAGTATCGGTGAAGATATCCGCAACCTAGATCACGGTCAACATGTTGTATCTGGAACACCTGGTCGGGTCTTCGACATGATCCGTCGTCGTAATTTGCGAACCCGTCATATAAAAATGCTCGTGTTGGACGAAGCTGATGAATTACTCAACAAAGGTTTCAAAGATCAAATCTATGATGTGTATCGTTACCTTCCCCCCAATACGCAAGTTATTCTTTTAAGCGCTACGCTACCTTACGATGTTCTTGAAATGACAACAAAATTCATGACCGAACCGATTCGTATATTGGTTAAACGTGATGAATTAACTTTAGAAGGAATTAAACAATTCTTTGTCGCCGTGGAGAAAGAAGAATGGAAATTTGACACCCTCTGTGATTTGTATGATACACTGACGATTACACAAGCTGTCATCTTTTGCAACACCCGTCGAAAGGTAATTACAATATACTATACACTCTAGTCGCTATTCTATGTCCAAGACAAGTTTCGAATAGTTCCATCCATATCCAGGTAGATTGGTTGACGGAGAAAATGCGAGAAGCAAATTTCACGGTTTCATCAATGCACGGAGATATGCCACAAAAGGAGCGCGATGCAATTATGCAAGAGTTTCGTCAGGGATCAAGGTTTGAAATTTTTTGAGGGGATGGCAATTTTATTGACGGACGATTTACTCATTGAACGTCTTTGTCGAATACACGTTGCCTATCTAGTCGTGTACTCATTACAACTGATGTTTGGGCTCGGGGTATTGATGTTCAGCAAGTGTCCTTAGTGTAAGTCAACATTACTAAATTACACGAAGAAGCAAGTTAAATTCTCTCGCGAAGATTGATTATTCATATTTGCAAATATTCACAATTTCCACAGCATAAATTATGATCTGCCCAGCAATCGTGAGTTGTATATTCATCGCATAGGAAGGTCGGGTCGCTTTGGAAGGAAAGGTAAAGCTTTCGGATCAAATGATCAAATCCACGCACGGGTTCGCGTATAATTAATTAAAATACATTTTTTTTCGATAGGTGTTGCAATTAATTTCGTCACCTCGGATGACGTGCGAATTTTACGCGATATTGAACAGTATTACAGCACGCAAATAGATGAGATGCCTATGAATGTATCGGATTTGCTTTAAACGACGATTCGTGCGCTACAGGGATTTGTAAATTGCGTCCGACTCTTATGTGACTTCGGGAATTTCATTGTAATCGAATAGCAAAATTTAATCATTAAAAAAAAAAAAGGTTTTGATTTGTTTAACAAACGAACGCTCAGTCCTTCATCAGGAAGATGAAATTTTAAAAATTGGTTGCCAATGATGCCCGTTACAATTATTTACTTATATTTATCATTAGAGTTTATTTCTAGCGAAATACGAGAAGCATACTTATTAGGTAAGCATTTTATTATGCTTAAAGAATGCATTCGTGTTATAAAAGTAAGGACATTGTCACTTTATAACCATTATTAAACCTTTTTCCGATAATCATATTAGATCAATTTTTTCCATTTACTTTGTAACTTCATACAATTACAACGTCGTCGTGAGACATGGATGGTAGCAAAGTTTAATAAAGAAAAATTGTGCGTTGCAAATTTTTATGATCTAGTAATGTAAGCTGTACTTCCTCTATTTTTAAAAGTAAAGTACATTTGTAGAAGGAAACCACTGATCATTTAATAATAAATATTAGAAAATACATGAAAATATACAGCCTTTCAAAATAAATGTTTGTAATGTTATATTTGATATGGCTTAAACCTGTAAAATAAATTTGTCGGTGTAAGAATCCCCACGGTAGCCTACGACAAATAGTCTACTTTTACCCATGTTTTACCGAAATATGCGTATCACCAGTAAAACTTTTATCTAAATGCGAGTCTTTTATTCAGAATAAAAATAATGATTACATTTAAGTTACACGTAGAAAAGGAAAGAAAAGAATTTACAAGGTGTAATGATAATGAATGTATATTGGAATTTCCCACGCACAACCGTGTGCCGCCACGTAAAAATATGGCGACCACCGAGAATCCGAATCCTTCAATACGAAAAGTTCATGCCATCCACGTTTTCACAGTATAAATAAAAATGTTCACGCAGGGTTGATAAACAAAATTATCAATGTCGAACGATTTATAGAGAATCTACCAGCATTCTGACAACCTCTTTATCCTTTTGGGCTCTCTCTCTAGAAGTCAGTGTTGAAACTTCGGTTTCTATTTCCATCGAATCCTTACTAACTTTCACAAAGTCTTCGTTCCGTTCGGTTTCTTCTCGATTACCATCGCCCATATAATTATGATATTCTTGGGGAACAAAATATTCATTAAGGACTCGTTTACAATCCTTGCGAAAAAAAAGAAAAAAATTACAAGAAATCACTCACCCTCTAAAGTAGCCTTTATATTATCCAAGCTCCGACCCGTGCGATTTAAAAGGGTTTTCACATGTTCCTTAATCTGTCAATTCAGAAAAAAGATATACGTTATCAATGCACATGTGAGATCAAGCATGCTTAATAAAGTAATTGTAGCCCGATTAATGTCCGCTAATCCGACCACAATTCGACTTTTATTACTGGCATTCTCTTTAATAAAAAGCAAAGACCGAACCTTTGATTCCTCGTGACAAATCCACGCGACAGTTAAATCAATCATTTGTAAAGTAAATAGACCTGCATCCAACCTTCTTAAATAAAATTCTTCTAGATCCTGTTCGTCATCGTCGTCTTCCAACTCCTAAAGTTGACGATATCAGCATAAAGAGGTAATCGATCAAACCAGACGAAAAATATTTGGCGACTCCACCAACCTCTTTTTCTTTCTCAATTTCCTTATCCACCACTGCTACTCTGGATTCATAGCTTTCCCTCATTTCCAATAACCTGTCCACCTTTTCAAAATCGTTTTCAATAAATTTGCCAATTAGCCGTAATCGGTGTTCACTCTCAAGTGGTAGATTCTTTAGCAATGACACTATTATGCTAATTATATGTTCTACAAATTACATGTTGAATGTTTAATGATTATTAAAACTATAATTTTCTTATCAGGAATTTTTCCGTAATTATGCGCACCCTCTTCTTCTGCCTCGGAAAAGTTCTTATATGTCTTCTTGAGTTTTTTCAGGCCCTAAAAAAAAAAATTATATATATATATATTCAATCCCACAAATTCATTCATTAAGACTTTATTAATGTTGCTCTGAAAGTAGCTTACTTTGCGCATGAATGCAGAAAATAATGTTCTTAGTCCAAATATGTCCACAAATCGTTCACAGCAATTTGCGCCTTCGGGGGTCGACAATGCATGATCTAATACCTTGATAGAACGCATTCGTGACATCATTTTTTCTCTAGAAATTAAATTTCAGAATCTTCACTTCAGTCATTTTTATATTGTCACTACAATGATTGAGCGAGATTTAAAAATTCGAGAAGAGCATACTTCATCATTATAAGCATCAGCTCCACACCTTCACCTTCCAAAAATCTTTTCTTGATCTCGGGCTCGGTCAATGCCGAGCAAAGTGCATCAAAAAAATTCTCCATCATCTCTGTTTCATCTGCGTCCTTGGGGTTTCGACGTTTATAGGCCTATTATATATGCATGTGTACGCCAAGATATATTTTATTAGTCAAAGGGTGCTGATTAAGAAACGAAAAACTTTTCATTACCACATTACATTGAGAACTTGTAGCAATACATCGATGCCACCTGATTCTCCTAATTTCAATCGATTGACTGTTATAGAAATTAAAATTCTGTCAACATTGTTCCGTATGGACGAATGGGTGTGATTTAAGATCAACGAATATTTACAGACCTCTACTATTTTGTAGTAGGATTGACAAAATTTCACTACAATATTGCCTGTTTGAGTCAAACATCTTGACCTTGATTCTTCCAAGCATCCATTCTAATACATTGGTATCTCTTATAATTCGCTCCGACAATGAGGGATCAAACGAAGTGAAATTTTCAATTACACCTAATTTTTTGAAACAAACACATTACGATCCAATTATGTAGGCGATGATGGTATGCAAATACATGTATATATACAAACCGAGTGTATTGAATACTCCTTGTTTGTCATTCGGCTCTTCCTCATCCAATCTAGCAAGATTCTGAACTAACAATTCCAATACTTGATTCTCCAACTATGACCAACAAACTGCGTCATTAACCATGCAACTTTCTCTCGCATGTAATCATGGGTGAATGGAACCATAATTACCAGTGCATCGATGAAAACCTTCATAGCATCGTCATCCTGTTCTGCCGCCACGTCCTCGTCGGTTAATTCGTTTAGCAACTCCACAACATCTATAGCAATATCTGTATTCTCGTGACTTAGAAGTGAAACAAGATGCGTAGGCAGACCGAGTTGAACAATCTCAGGATAAAGGTCAGGTACTTCAGCAAGTGTCAATAAATGCTTTATCTCTTCATCCAGATCTGCTTCAGATTCCATAAATCTATAAAAAACCGATTATAACTGTTTTCACTAAAATTCTTCAAATATTAAAAAATGAGATTCGTATATGATTACTTTGACGGATCTTCGGAGTATTTGACACGAAGTTCTTGATTTTTGGCTATCGCTTTTTCAAATTTGAGAACCATTTTACGAACAGCCGTAGCGTCTAAAGTTACTGGCTTGGAAGTTCAAATCGATTTTCACTAAGTATGGTACAATGAAAGAATCGCGTACAATAAATAAAAAAAACGCGTAAACTTTTGAAGCCAAACCTCTTCTTCCTCAACCCGATCAAACAAGTCTAGAATGCGCTTTTGTTCTTCGGTAAGCCCACCTCCATAGAACCGTCCTCCCTCCTCCCTGTCGTCTTCTCTATACTCCTCATATTCAATATATTCTTGCTCTTCGACTTCATCGGAAATGCGGACGGCCTTTCCTTTTAAAGAACGACTGATGTCACTCGGACCTTCTTCCAATTCTTCCGCCTCCTCGGTCTTCGCACGAACGGCTTTTAGAACCTCGATATTAGGATTTGCCGCAAGTTTTCTCTTATTCTTGCCACTTGGAATGGAACTAGAAGGAATTTTGAAAAGTTTCTCAACGTTCATCTTAAGATAGACGATTTCAACCACTTTTGAATTATGAATGCGTCCTGTATGTTTGATATAACAGGGGACGGTAAATGATCATTTTACACTCCCCTGTAAAATATCATGTGACGCGATAAATTTTTAATCCGCAATTATGGTGAAACATTATATTGACTATTCACAAAGAAATTTTGATGAATGTTTTCTATTATCCTTGTAATGGCATAGGAGCTAGGATTCCTATTGACTATAATGTCTTTCAACAATTTTTGATGAAATATATTTTCAACTATAATTAAAGAGTTAAAGTTCAATATACTGTAGATTAAAGACTATTCAATCTTATTGCTTAACTAGAACAAGAAAAAGATCTTGATCTGATTAGAATAATAAGAAAAAAGAATTATAGTTTGAACAAATAATAACTTTTTTATCACTTGGAAACTTGTTGCTTAAATCTTATTAATTTATAAAACTTAAAATATAAATTAATCTAATTAAATAAATAAGATAAAAATGAAATATTAATTAACACTAGATTTATTATCAACTGTAATTATAGATTGCTTAAAAATTATGAATTGCTAAATTAATAAAAGAAAAAAGAAAAAAAGAAGAAATACAATTCAAATTTCTTTAGAAAAGTTTATTAATTAAACTATTTTTTTTTAAAAAATTTTTATCTAATTAAAATATTATTTTTATTTTTACTTAAATCTTAAAAAGGATATTTTTTATCATTATTTATAACATTAGACAAGTTAATTTAACTAGATTCATCATTTAAGTAAGTATTAGATTGAAATAGTTCAAAAAAAATTTAAAGATTTTAATTTTTAGACAATGAAATTTTTTTATGATCTGAAAATTTTATAATTTCTATTACTTATTTTTTATTCTTTAATATCTTAAATATCTTATGTAAAAACTTAAAACTTTTGAAAAAAAACAATTTCTAAAAAAAATTTTTTTTAATTATTATTGATATTATTCAAATATATAAATATTATTAATAGAAACCAATTTATATTTTATAAACTAATATATTTTATATTAATCAATCATCTTTAATATAAATTTGTACTATCTAAAATTCAAAATTAAATTAATGTAAATAAAATTTTTTAGAAAATTATAAAAGTAAAATTTCTAAGAAAGCTAGAACAGTTAGAAAAAAAAATATGTTTTTTTATTATAACAAAATCTATATAACTTTTTGTTTTAAAGATTTTTTTTTTTTTTTTTTTTTTTAAACGCCAGCTCAACCTTTACTTTATTAGATATAATTTTTAAATGTTGATATATACATTTTAAAAAATATGATTGTAAATCTAAAAAACTGCGATATGACTATACTGATCAACCTCGGATATGTTGCCGTCTCTAAAGTGAGAACTAGCGAAGGGCCACTAGTGCTGAAAAAATTTTTATAGGGGGAAGAAGGAAGGTCGGAAAATAAATGAGTGGATGGGATAGTTAATCTATATAAACAATTTCTTACTATGCGACTTTTTCAGGGGAAAAAAAATTTTGTTCAGAATATTCATTAAAGCTCCTTAGGTAGTGCCAAATACCCATTCATATATGATAGTAGAAACACCAATGCGTGGTTTGATCATATTTC